GTTGTCGAATGGATAGTTGAGAATGGAGGTCAGTCTTTTCAATTTGAATAGTCTTCCTACTTGAGTTTCGTAGGAATTGTACGTCAGATGTATACCTCGATAATCTTTAGGCCCATACTTCTTCGTATATGTGTGGATTTTCGTGTCTGTAGTTATGCTTATATTAATGACAGTATACCCGGCATTCATTGCGCCCTTATTTGACAAGTACATTCCTCTTCCTGAAGGAGAGTTGAAGGTTAGCCACGTTGAATCACGTGCCAGACTATGCCTCAAATTTTTCTTTTTTTATTTTAGGTGGCTATAGAAAAACTAGCGGCTTCACAGAAGTTCCCTCTTACGAAGTTGTATGTTGTCTACGGTAGGTTTCTGTTATCTGGAATCTTTTATTTTCGTAAATTATGTGCAATGTCATGCATGAATCTGTTAAGATTTGCTGTTGTTGTGCTAGTTAAGTACCCTTTGGACAATTACTTAAAGGCAGCTCCCGCGCTCAAGTGATCCGCGAAATGCATCCGTGTATTTGGCATTGTTCTCTTCATTCTCAGAGAGTACACCTTTTTTGCCACTAGAAAGGGTGGGATAAAGAAGCTAGAGAGGCGTGATTATTGCAACCACGATTGCTTTCACTCTGCAAGACAACACAAATGGAATTGCGTGTGTACATAGCGTTGCCTGGAGCGTCGTATAGTGAGTTCCTAAGCTTTTGCCGGGATTTGCTTATACGTCGGATCGTGCTGATCGGACTTGCCGACGTCCGACAAACTCGTCCAGGGGGTCGGCCTCATTTCGATGAATTTGCTTGAGAATCTTTCAAGGTGGAATTCAGTTCGGAGAAGGTCAACCCAGTACTGTCTCGGTAAAATGGCGCAGACTGCTCTGGCTAGGCCGTGTGGCTTGTAGCGTTGTAATTTTGAGATGACAAGTGTCTACACTTATTTTCTCATGCAAAGTGGTCCTCTTGTAGGTTCGAAACGTTCCGCTCACAGTAACGCCTACATGTATGGTTTCTGGAATAGTAAACGAATTGTACTTTATGACACACTTCTAAGTGGAGAAGAGAAGGAAAAAGTGATGGCGCAGTGTGCAGAAGCTGCAGCGGAAATGACAGACAAGGATAAGGTAATTTCTACTGAACATATGAATCTGTTTTATATTTTTTCTGTACTGAATACCAATCACTATTCAAGGCTCGTGGAATGACTAACGATGAAGTGGTTGGTGTGCTTGGGCATGAACTCGGCCACTGGGCTCTTTGGCACTCCATTATCAATTTAGTTATTGCCGAAATAAACATATTCTTTATGCTAGCAGTGTTTGCCTATTTCTACCGATGGGAACTCCTATACAAGGTGATTTTTCATGACGTTCCCCTGAGATTTACAGGACATTTTAACCGAAAATCAAAATGAAAATGTTCAAGGCATTCGGATTCCACACGACACCAATAATTGTCGGTCTGATCCTGTATTTGCCAGTTCGTTTGGACTTTTACCATCAACGTAGGTCACTGAAAAGGGTTTGAGTAGGCGATACTGTAGTCCCGCTTTTTCTGCATCCTGATACGGGGAACTTACGTACCTTTGTTGTCTGCTTTTTTTCTGAGCTTTAGTGTTGAGAAGTGAATTTCTGATGCTAGACTCTTTTCTTATCATGAACTGTTTCAGGTTACCGACGTGGCTATGTCAATTTACTCGCGCCGCTGTGAATTTGCAGCTGATGAATATTCAGTTAAACTGGGACATGCTGATGCCCTCATCAGCGCCCTAGTGAAATTGGGCAAGGTAAGAATCACCTCTCATAGTATTTTCGCTGAATTTTGCCCCTTATTCTCGCTAAGGTGTGTAACAAAACAATCTTAATGTATCGTACTGGCGGGCATTACGCGTGACACACGAGTTGTCCTGTTTGCCCGATCAGATAGAGGGATCAAGGAACAGGGAAACTAGATATCGCTCTTTATGGGACTTGTCTCTGCTTAAAGGCAGTTGGCACGATGGTTTGTTTCCTACTCAGCCTAAAATGCTAAGTTAGGTTGGCGCTGTATAGTGGGGAAATGGCGAAAGAACGGAGTGAAACGGTCAAAATCCTGCGAAGAAAAAGCCTCCGTTCTCAGTGACTTGTAAATCGATTTCGGACGAGTTTCCCGTAGGCATCTTACCAATCACCGCTACCGAAGATACGGCTGCATATGTGTACCCATGTATGCATGCAGCATCACGGCCGCTTCATACCAATCCCTTCGCTTCATAATTTGCTTAATGAATACGAGCGTCAGGAACGGTCGTCCATTTGTGGGCGGGCGGGCGTGGCGGGCGTTTGGGACGTAAAGTTGTGGCTTGATAGGGCCCTTATAAGGGCACCTTCCTCGGGAAAACGCTATGCAGCGCCTGCCCAGGGTCGCGGAATTCTATCCTGCCAGGAGTATTGATCCTAGTCGTCTTGGGGGATTTATCGTGCCAACTGCCTTTAAAGACAGCTCCCGCGATAAAAGTATCATGGATAGTTGCTTTTCAGTTATTCAGTTTTCAGTTAGTGCTTTTCAGTTCGAACCAGTAACTAAAAAGTAATGCACTCTAAAAATGGTAGAAAGAAGAGCATAATAGGGAAGAGTCTTCCCAGAACACTGTAAAACAAAAATAGCTCCGCGACAGTCGCACCTGGCCATCTGCGGGTTCTCTGTGGCGGTCCCCTGCTCACAAATCCCTTATCACATTTCCCAGTAAAGAATCAGTCAATAAAAAGAAAAGAATACTAGAAACAACAAAACACGGGAGAAAAACGCTCGAAAAAGGAAGGGGAATTGCAAAAGACTCGGCGTGGTCCGGATTTGAGGTTTGCGGTAGCAGCATCTTTTAGTGTAGTGTAGTTTGCGTGAGTCTTTTGCAGGCAGCAAAAAAATTGGGTCGGCTCGTGATTTTTAATGTGTTTTATACCCAAGATGGGTTGGTAGAGTTGACTATATGTGCTCCTAGTGAATAAAATGTAACGACTGTATGTGCTCCTAGTGAATAAAATGTAATGAAGGAGAGCAGAATTATTCATGGGCACGAGCGCGGTCAGCAGAAAGGACATCAGTTCCGATTAATGCCCGCCGCCCCAACAAAGAACAACTGAGCGGCACTCCGTCAGAGGGCATCTTGCAAGTGGGCGGTTTCAGCTGGGCGAGCGTTAGAACTAGAACTTTCAGCGGCTATAGCTCGCTCCTCGCTCGCGAGAGTGGGACAGCCTAGAGCTTGGAGGGCTTGTAGCTACTGGCGCAAAAAGGCGACCATGTTACTGCTGTGAGGCGCGGGCTGTCTTATTATCGCATTGGGGTTCACTGCTCCAATCATTCATGACAAAAACCAAGCCATTATTCTTTATTGTTGAGCATAGTGCCCAGCTCATCGCTATGTTGCTTAATTTATGTATTTAATGATGAAGTTTAAATTGTCATGCAAAGCTACATCACACAATCTCAACGACAACTGCGTGTCAGCTATACGCGATGTGCCTGAGATGGGGTAGGCGTGGCCGCATGTTTTGATCTGGATGTGTCTATGCTTTTGGTGAGATATTTTCACCGTGACACAATCCTGTCCAACACAGAACAAGATGACAGTTGTCCCAGACTGGAATATTCCACGAGTAACCAGTTCCGTGCCATGTTCAAATGCCACGCCTACTCTAGCTCAGGGATAAGGAGTGTACTCTGCGACAGGGCGCGGTTCATCCTGATGGGGGGGGGGGTGCTACAGGTGGTTTTCAGCAAGTGTCTACAGGCCACCTTGTGTAGACCTGTGAACTTTTGTAACCTGTGCCATTTTGCAGCTTCACGAGAGCTCAAGGGTGCTAAAAAGGAGACCTGTTAGTGAACGTGAGCTACGAAAGATTAAAATGTCCCTACCAAGCCGAATGGCGCCTGCGTTGACCTTGATATAGACATGAGTCCGGGTTGGGAATGAAAACTCCCGACCTTTGAAAACGTAGTCCAGCCATCCGATATGCGGAAATCTTTACTTCGTACATAATGGCGCGATCAGCAATCGCATATAATGCACCTTTGTCAGAGGTCTGCCATACTTGTCGAACTCCGCCACGGAAATCAATGCCCATCTCATCTGTCGCTCTATAGGGATGCGTTGGGCGCAGTCTACAGGTCTCATTCTGGTGAAACCTGTGAACGCTTGAGAAGCTGGAACAAGCTCGTCGAGCCACAATGTTGAAACTTGTCAACTCAAAAAAGTCTAGGTGGGTGGACACGCTGATTGGAAGTAGCAAATATGTAAGATGCGATATATTAGGTTGTTGTATAAGTTCTTATACACGTGTTTGATCCTCTTCTATTTCGTTCGCATGGATGTTGGTATTACGTCATCACGTGTGCTGTGGGACCCCCGGTTGTTTTTTAAAAACAAAAAAAAACATTTTTTATACTCTTTCATTACACTAGCTATCACTCACCGAGCTTGCATTTGCAGTACACAATGTCGCACAATTTGCACTGTGACAAAACGTACCTGCGCCACTGTTTGGTTTTGCTCCACGATTTCGGCTGGAATGCAAAGGAAGCCCATACCAAGCTGGTGGATACATACGGTGAGGACGTCATCTCTTACATGACATGCAAGAATTGGTTCGCCAAATTCAAGAAAGGAGACTTTTCTCTCGAAGATGCTCCGAGGTCGGGTCGGCCGATGGAGTTGGATTTGGAAGTACTACGTTCCACCGTGGAGGAGGACCCGTACCTCACCACCAGAGAAATGGCGACCATGCTTAGCTATGATCATTCGACGGTTGCACGTGGACTAGAAAAGCTCGGCAAGGTAGCAAAGCTTGGTCGATGGGTCCCACATGAACTGTCCGCTTATGACCTCTCGAGGAGGTGACCACCTGCACTTCTCTCCTCACTTTCGAAAAGAGCTCACTTTTCTCCTCAAGCTCGATGATCACTGGAGATGAGAAGTGGGTCCTCTACGATAACCCTGTGAGGAAGCGGCAGTGGGTCGACAAAGGAGAACAGCCAGAAGCCACCCCAAAGGCCGACCTTCACCCCAAAAAGGTTCTCCTGTCCTGTTGGTGGTCCAGAAGAGGCATGGAGTACTGGGAGCTGCTGGAGAAGGGACAGACGATTGACGCTTCCACATACGTGACCCAGCTGCGGAAATTGAAAGATCACGTCGACCGTACTCGTGGAAGGAATGCGGAAATCTACTTCCACCATGACAACGCCCGACCTCACACTGCAAAGGCGACCCAGGCCGAGCTGGAGAAGTACGGATGGCTGATGGTCGCCCACCCTCCCTACAGCCCTGACCTCGCTCCTTCTGACTACTGGCTGTTCAGCCACCTGCAGCGCTATCTGGACGGAAAAAAGTTCGAAACACGCTATCTGGACGGAAAAAAGTTCGAAACAAAGGATGTCAGAAAGGCGCTCGACGACTTCTTCAAGTCCCAGCCTCCGTCGTTCTGGAAGGATGGAATCGACAAGCTGCCTGAGCGCTGGCGTCGAGTAGTGAATGGTGATGGTGCATACCTCTAATCTCCAGGCTGGTTCGTTTTTGAGATATTTACAAAAAAGTCGTGTATAAGAACTTATGCGACAACCTAATAAAATGTCCCTTCACAAAGCCGAATGGCGCCTGCGTTGAACTTGATTAGACATGAGCCCGGTTGGGAATGTCATACTGCTCCGTACGGTGTTTGTGTACTCCTTCGACACTTCGTTGTTCATGTCTGTGTTCTCGCATGGGCCACAAAACTAGTGGGTCTCACATAGGCAGCACTTTTGTTCTGGTGAGGGACTTTTTCCTATTCTCGTCGTTTGTTAAATGTTTGTGCAAGCCTTTGAAGTCAGTTGGATCCTCTCTAGGGAGAGCTACTCTGCTTGAGCGACGGGTTATTTTCTTATTAGTACCCCAGTATCTCCTGGTGTTTCTGAACTAGGCTCGATTAGCAATCGCGGACCATGTTTTCGAACCGCATTTTCAGCTTCCTTTGTGCACTGTTTAGCCTCTATGGCACTCCGATAATTTTCGTCTGAAGCAGGGTAGAAGGTCCAAGTAATCGCTTCACGCATGACGATCCTGGCATTTTGCGACTGCTTTGTCATCACTTGCTTGCTGCACTGCTCGCTCGAAAGGTCAGTTTCATGTTACTTGTATATGTCGGGTTTGAAATGAAACGTAAGAAACTGTAATAAGTTAGAACAAAGATAAAACAGACGGTTGAGAAACGACGAGTAGGCAACACAAACTGCAGGAAAATCGTGAGGCACTCACAGTCGACCAGTTTCATCGCCTGGCGGGCGGAGATCTCATCTCTTGACTTATTATTACATATTACTTATTCTTCGATCCTGCCCTGCCAAAGCAGGTTTGAAGGCAGTTGGCACGATGGTTTCCTACTTAGCCTAAAATGCTAGTAGGGCGCTGTATAGTGGGGAAATGGCGAAAGAACGGAGTGAAACGGTCAAAATCCTGCGAAGAAAGAGCCTCCGTTCTCAATGTGTTAGAAATCAATTTTGGACGAGTTTCCCGTAGGCATCTTGCCAATCACCGCTACCGAAGATTGCAGCATCACAGCCGCTTCATACCAATCCCTTCGCTTCATAATTTGCTTAGCAAATGAATGAATACGAGCGTCAGGAACGGTCGTCCATTTGTGGGCGGGCGGGCGCGTTTTGGGACGTAAAGTTGTGGCTTGATAGGGCCCTTATAAGGGCACCTTCCTCGGGGAAACTGCATGCAGCGCCTGCCCAGGGTCGCGGAATTCTATCCTGCCAGGAGTATTGATCCTAGTCGTCTTGGGGATTTATCGTGCCAACTGCCTTTAAAGGATCATCAGTGCATCAATTTTAACACATTGAACGCCGCGGCGTTTTTGCGGCGACTCCCGTTTTTACTTCCTGCGTCTCCGCGCGCGTGAATTGCGTGCAATACACAAACGCGCGAAACGGGAGTCTTTGTGCCGCATGCCCCTTTACACGCTCATTCTGGTTACTTTTGCGCTCATTTCTACATTGTTCATTATGAATGATGACTTCTTTTAGCTGCATAGATGGATCTGGACAACGTAGAAGATCTAAACGTCAGTTTTGACGACATAAGTATTGTTATCATAATCAATTAAACACTATCAAATGTATTGTAAATTAACACTTATTATCACTAGAAGTCTTACTACCATTGTAGTGATGCGGAGCTATCATAAGAAGTGCAATTACCGACCGCGCCACTGACTGTATTTTGTAATATTAATGAATTACTTCAATGAGCAGCTTATTTCGCGCCATCAAGAACTAAGCATAAGCAAAGCTCACTGAACATATACTCGGTGAAAATGGTTCAAGTCGCACTCATACCCACGAAAAAACCGACCCACAAAACGTGAATTGTGGGCAATACACAAACGCGAGAAACGGGAGTATGCGCGTGTATTGCCGACAATTCACGCGGCGTTCAATTGATGAGTGCAAGCTGGACGTCATGCAACATGGTTCTTCTCAGCACTACCGCTTACCAGCGCGTTGATAGTTAAATGTGACACAAAACCCTAATTCACCAAATGCGGACCCTGTTCTATGCAAAGAAATGTTAAGTCCGCTTTGGACGAAGGGGCGCTTCAGACGGGATAGTTTAGCCCGTCCCATACCCGTTCCCCAGCAGCTGTTGAAGCGCGCAAGCGACAACACGCCAAGTCGTTCGTATCACTCGCTTTCTACCAATTACTGTGGCAACTGGCAGAAAAGGGGTTTGGCGGCCGAGGGGGGGGGGGGGGGGGGCGCCGCGGCACACTCATAACTGCCTGACACGTCCCTCCATTCGCAGCGAACTAGAGTATAGATATACCACCACGGAACCTTTCGCAAGTTTTCTGGTTCACTACGATATGCTTATGAGCTTGAAACCGTGAAAGCTTTTCCAAAGCACTTCGGAGATGACATGGCTGAAGTGTAACACCTGCTACACTATACAGGGTGAATGAACAACTTTTACCATAACTGACTTAGGTTTTTCATTTCATTGCACATGAGCTAATGGAAACAACAACAAATAAACATTTATATCAACCAGAACAAACGACAACAGAGTGGCGTTAGATAGGGTTGTTCACCCACTTCTCTAGTGGACCATGCTCACGTACAAGTTGAACATTAACTCCATCCGATCTCAGACGTCCTTCTTCGCGCATACGCTCATAGTCAGCCTTATCCCAACGAGTGAATCCCCATTTTCGTGATACGACAATCAACTGGCGACCAGGGAACTTGAACTTGGCACGACGGAAGGCTTCGATGGCATGGTTCACGTTCTGCAAAAATCTAAGGAGTAGAAACCAGGGAGAAAAAATGTTGTGTATAAGACACATAAAAACAGATTAGATAGTTTGATTTCATATTTTTGAAGCGTTCTCAATATATCCCATTGCACCTGCAAAGGTATGCAAATAATTCACCGGATATTTCCAGTTAAGGCTTCTTCTCGACGCCGAACAAAGCCAATCTATTCGTAGACACCTCGAAAAATTTGCGTACGCTACCTCAACAAGGTAGGGGAGGCTTCAGCTGCAATATTTCGTGCGTTTATGTGAGCTTCGATCTAACCCACTGAGCACTTTAAAGCTGTGACTGGTACGAGCTTTGTGTCGAAGTCATTTATATGGTTCTTTTCAGATCGAGGGGAATTATAGTAGATGATGTGAAGAAATTGTAGAATGAGAATTTGTTCCTAATCTAAGGGACTCCGAAGGAGCTCCGGAGCGGGTGTATCAACTGTTTTTGCAAAGAAATTACGTATTACTACCACTACGAAAAGGATGGTGTCAATGCTATTACATATTTCTAATGAAATGAAATTTTCGATGAATTTTGAAGATTTACGAAGCTAAGCTGTGCCTTATACATTCAGAGAATTGGACATATGCCTTGACTGCTGTGCATCAAAATGGCGATCCATAATCCACTATAAAACAAGTTGATGGTGCTCGAAATGCACGGCACGAGCTTAAATATTACTACATATCCATACCATGCATTATGAGCACAACGAACATTTGTTCTCGAGTGTATACGCGCCTACCTCACGGCATGGGATACTCCGATTTGAAACTTCAAATGTAAAACCTTTTATAGAAAACACAATATTGACAACCACGTATTAGGCCCGAACAACTAATCAGAAACAAGACCTTTTTACTGAGAGATGTAGTAAAAAATTTCCGATTACAAGCTTAGTTGTTGCCTAGTAGTGACGTTTCCTAGAACTGGCACAGGGCTGGCTTTTTCATTAATTTTTTGTTCTTCTGGCGAATACCTGACCGGAAATTTTCCTAGCTATGTTAGCGATTGTACACTACCTCAATTGACGTTAGGTAAAATCGTAGTTTCGATTCTATTCAATATAACTCAAGCGTTCTAAAGACGCACCTGTGCGTGCACCCAATAAATAAGTAAACAAATAAGTAAATAAAGTTTAAAACTTACACCTTCCTTGACACGCATGGAGAAGAGTATATCTCCGATATCGACACGGGCCACCAAGCCTTGCGGCTTTCCATAAGCTCCACGCATACCCGTCTGCAGACGATCAGCGCCGGCGCATGATAACATTTTGTTGATTCGGGTGACGTGGTATGGATGTTTTCGAACTCGAAGATGGAAACTGTCCTAAAAAACCATAATATTTCAGTTAATGATGAATAAAGCTGTTTAAAATATGATTGACCTTTCCGCAGTTCTTCACCATGTACTTGTTAGCACAGATACGAGCTGCCTCAAGAGCTTCAGATGAAAGATGTTCACGTTCGTTTGACATCATATGCACGCAGCAAGGGAACTCATCCACGCCAGCCTTCTTTTTACCAAGATCGAAAATGCGAATCTTTGGGTCGGGAACTCCTCGACAGAAACGCGATTTTGGATATGGTTTATTCTTGATGTACCGGTAACACCTAGCCGGCCGGCGACCCATTTCTAAAAAAAGTTTGTAGGAAACATTTTCACGACAAATCGGCCAATATATTCAGTACTCAAGGGAACACAGGATAAAAGGCCGCATTCGTACATAAATATTGAAGAAATGACGATACTGCGGACAGAAGAAGGTATATGTAACGATATGAAAGACCGCGCATCAGGAGACAAATCCGGAGAAATACAGAAATGTGGAATTTGTGGAAAAGCTTAAATGACAGTTACAGACTTGCTAAGGACTGAGCTCAGCCCTGCCGCCGGGAAAACTGCTGATTCTGCGAAACCCCATCAGTTCTCCGGACCGCGGTTCTTCAGATCAATACGTACACTTTATTCTGTCCGCAGTTTCGTCACTTCGTCAAGGTCGCCATGTACGATCGCACCAACAAAATGGAAACAGAGAAACACAATTTCCTCTCTACCTACAACCTTTTACTCTACCCTGAGGCTAAAAGTGGAGTTAAGGGGGAGGAGCACTTCCTCATCACTTTCTCAACTAGCTCGTCAGCTATGCCATGACCGAACACGCTTGGATTTGCTATTCTTCTCACGATTAATGACTTTTTCCCTACCTGAATACACATGGGAACTTATTTCTGGGGATTCCCGGTTATAAGGCTCTTTTATTAGCGTGGCGCAGGCGACAAATTGCGCAAAAGTTACTGGCGGCGCAGTTCTCGTCCTTTCGGAATATATGAAATTCTTTCCAACGGTTCTGAAAGATCTCCCACAAAACTCGGACCGTTTAAATAGATAAGGAACAAAAAATCAAGCAAAAGTAATGCTAGAAAGAAACATGTGTGGTGCGACAGGCGAAGATGCGCTCCAGTAGGCGGGACGCCTTATACCACAGAAAATAGGATAATTTGAATGGTTATAGAACTATACAAGGATGCTTCGTACGAAGTAGAGCAATTCACAAACGAGGCAACGCTAGGTTACGGGAAATATCCAGAGCAAAAGTAAAAAACACATTTAAGGGGCACTTTCCCGTAAATCCGGAGGCAAAAATGACTACTGCTATTGAACCACAAAAATAGCCCATATTATACAGCTTGAACCACATAAAAGCTACACAAAGAAAGTCATGCTGGTAGCGTGAAATTGAAAACGTCGCGCTTCTCGGTGATGAAATAAACGTAAAACGAGCGATATGAGAACCAAACCTTGCTGACGCCAATGCTACTCGATAGGATTTATTATTATTACAAATTACGGAACAAAATATGCCAAACATCATAAAACATCACATCAAGAAAGAACATTTTAGGCTACGACAAAGAAATTGTCACTGCTGGTACGAAGCGAATTGGAAACTATTGGCTGTGTATCTAACGCGAGCGGTCGCAAGCGTGCTGTTTCCGTGGAGCGCAATATTTTTTTTGACGAAAGTGATTAGAAGCCGAGCATGGCTTTGTCATGAGGAAGTGGATCGTATCTGAGTTGCTGGGGGGGGGGGCTTTGTAGGTGATATCATGTCTATGCGTACGGTCTCTAGTCATTATAATGGGACGACTAATAAAGTATGGTAGTTACATCAGATGGGTTTGCCTTATTAAAGACAGTCCCCGTACTCACCCTAGTTCGTGGGGGTCCTTATTTGTACTAGTAGTCCTCGGTCTCTCGGAATTCCCCACTTTCGCTGCTCTACAGTACGAAAAGAAGGTGCTGTAGCTCTCATAAATGTCAGTTCTGATGCCTCACTGGTGGCCCGGCCGCCCAAACTCAAAGGCTATTTCCTGTACGACTTTCGTTTCTACATGGTGTTTTTCGTTTTTCCTACACTGCTAGATGGTATTAGCACTGAATGACGCGAAGAAACAATTAGTGGCCAAAGGCGGCTGGATATCGCTTTGTTGGCACAAAAAGAGCAGGTCTGGAAAACTCGTACAGTGAGGCTGCCAGGGGTCCTTTGGGTGTTCTCCATAGATTTTTTTTGCATTTTATTTCTCGTGAAGAGTCAAGTAGTGATGACAGGTGTGTGAATGGATTCGCCGCTATCGATAATATGTTCATGGCGGGGTTTGTCTCTGAGAAATGGCCTGGAAAGAACAAAGAAACGGTGTGGAAATCCCAGGAAAGAAAAGAATCGCACTTTCCTGATGTGATGCAGCAGTTAGCCATTACAGCCTTGTTCACTGCGGATGCTGGGCGTGTCAGGGGGCTGGGTTTGGCGATGCGCCAGCTCGTCTTTCATCAACTGTTGTCGCTTGCCCGCTATGACGATTGGTGGAGAAAGGGCTTGCGGGGCGGCAAACCCAGCTTAATTTTGACACGACTCAGCACCTGCAGCGAACAGAACTGCAGTTTTTGTTTTTTGGCGTCCCTTTTTGGAATTTGCTGGTGGTAGCTGAAATAGCTTCCAGGGCATGTCGTACGTTGGAGAGCCCCAGCGGGAGGATCGTATTTTGTCAGAGGGAAAAAAAATTTTGATAGCTGATTTTCTTTGTTTCACGGGCACTGTCGTGACTCGACGACTCTTTTTTTAAAGGGTCGTAGTATATGGTGGGCGTCGGTGTCCTGGCACGCTTAGCGCGTACGGTCTCGAAATTTCTAGAAGCCGCTAGGGACGCAGAGTCGCCGCCGACTCTGGCCTTTCTCTCAGTCTACGTCCTGCTGTCATCTCGACTGGTCGCTCCGCTCTGCTCTTCGCCCAGCCGTCAACGTCATCGCTAGTCCACGCTGGTTGCTGTCAACGTCCAAGGAGTGGTGCAACGCGAAGGAACCGAATCGCCTCAAGGTCGCCGAAGTCCCAGGTAACCACTAGGAGCGGAGGGGCATCCGAACCTCTTGGACAGCCAGAGGGGAGGATGCTTTCGATGCCCCTAGTGGGCTGTTGCCTCGTAGCCCTTAGGTTGTAGGCAGGGGTCGTCCTGTAGGCTAGGGCCGTGTCTTTCCTTTTCGTAGTTTATTCTTTTGTTTGTAATGTCATAGTTATCAGTAGTCATTAAATCAATAATTTATATGTGTGTATTCTCGATCGATAATGACAAGTGGTAATGCCATGATATCTTTAACTGCATTGATTAGTGGTAGTAATTAGTTGGTGTTTTATCGGCTGCATAGCTGAGGTAAAGTTATGTTCGGCGCCGTAGGTCTGTGTGACTACGGCCTTGTCATCCCTTAGCGTATGTTAAGGCGCAGGCGTAGGTTTGTTGGGTAACATCTGGTAAATAGCCGTAGTGCGCACCGCGTAGGGGCAGCAAGGGCCTATAGGTTGCGGAGAAGTAGCAACAACAGCACCCGCGTGGCAACACCGTAGGCGAGCGAGGGCAAGCGTTCGTAAGTCCCCACGCACGTACTCGCGCCGAGCGCGACTCTCTCCACCGCAGGTGAACCCCGGTGCTTAGTTGGCATTAGCGGAGGGATTGAGTCGCCCCCGGCACGACAGGCACTAACTATTCACGGCTGTTGCGGGGAATTCTAAGGGGCGAGGGGCGTATAGAGGAGGAATCGGAATATTTGGGGGAATCGTATTTCCTGAAAATTTCTCCAGCGACAGTACATGCTCTATGCTGTACACAAACTGAGCTCATCCCTTTTGACATGCTGTCAAACCCTTGGACGTATTTTTATTGACAAGTTTTCACGACTAATGTTCAGCTCGTGGGGCAAAATAGCAATTGGTCAATATTAGAGTCAATACAAACAACAATACATTCAACATACATACAAACCAGGCGGAAAAAAAAACAGACGGTGTGATGCTAGAAGTGTTAATATTGCATGGAAATGCTGATTATTCGTTGCTGACGAGTTCATGGCGCAGAATTTTCCCTGATGGTGTCCTTGGGATTTCATCTACGATTTGGACATCGCACAGGTGTTTGTAAGAAGTGCAATGATTCTGGTAACATAAATAGCAAGGTTTTTAAAACAATGAACGTCAACTACTGCCGTTGGCCCAATAGATGATTGCGTTTTCTCACGTTGAAGCTATGCCACTACAAGATAAAAATATTCACATTGGGATTTATTAGTGTTTTGCAAAGAATCCCTCGCCCTGTAAGGTAGTCCTCTTATTATTTATTTTTTTTTCTGAAGATTCTGTTTCCAGTTAATTTTTGAGTGCTGAAGCACGCGACGCGCCAGGTTCTATGGAATCTTGAGCATTTTCCATGCGTCATTCTCCATACTAATTGATTAAAAAGCCAATAACCGTATAAGTCTACTTGCTAAGTATTATGGGCTGAGATGCTCCCTTCAAAAATGCTATAAATCGCAAAGTTGAGCGATTCAAGGTTTCAGTTTCAACCTCTCAGACAAGCATCGAACCTAGCCCTATCGAGTCCAACTGAGAGCTTACTGAATCACCTTGTTCGAGGAGACTCGTGCCATGGAGTGGGAGAATGGTAGTGGTACTGGTCATCGAAGGCTATTACGTCCCCATTTAGTATAGGTTTCATGTAATGGGCAACGTTCGAAAACTTCTGCATGGGTTCTGCAGGCAGCCGGTCGACGGCGCCCATGCGATGGTCCGAATTCCCATCCCTGAATCACTTGCGAAAAACTCCAACCCGTCGTGGGAGCATCGTCTTTTCTAATTACGCTACAACGTTGAGTTGGCTTCTGCCAACTGTAATCATAGCCTAAGCACAAACAGTTTCACAAAAACACGCATTTGTGCCGGCCCGACCCTTCATTTCAATGCGACAAAAAGTCCCCGGACCATGATGTTTATAGGAAGAGTTTTCAGAGGCAGTATGTAACGAATAAAGTATTTAACAAGCACAAGAGGACTGTATATAAAAAAGTAAACAGAAGGGTGCTCAGGGAGCGCAACACATAGCTCCTCTTTTGCTACATATACCATTCTTTATGTGCTGACGGAGCTCTGATATGGCATGGACGAATATTTTCACGGATTTTTGTTCTAGAGATTTGCAGACGCTCCTTTTGGCCGATAGTCTTTGCAGAAAGTTTCAGTTCCTTCTGATTCGACCACATCTTGGAAAATTTCGGTTCTACTTGGTTCAGAGACTGCGGTTCATGGCTATATCCTACTTGGTCTTCGGTTTTGATTGAATCCTTCCTTTGCGCCATAAGATGGTGGCTGGTTCAAAAATGGCGTCTTGACTGTAATATACAGTCATGCCAGGAATTTTTCATCTTTCCATTGGGCTTCGTTACCAAGCCTCGTGGAAAATAATCTAATCGTAAAAAGAACGTGCGGCCCTACGACGTATGCACGCGGGACTGTTTGTACCTCAAACTTGGGTAATTAAACTTTATCATAAATTATAAAAAGGATAAAATAAGAAATAAATCAACTGCTCTCTACTGCGAGCTGGCCTCCTTATATATGCTTAGCCTAGGCGGAGCCAGCTCTATGTTTTCTATTACAATACCAAGATCAGCCTGCTGATAGTGATTCTACGGCCTTACATACAGCTTACAGGATGAATCATCTATACAATAGCTACGAACCTAAAGCTACGAATATGTACAAAAGATAGAGAGAATTCTCTATACACCGGGCGGCGGCATGTTAACAGCTCTCGCTGTGGTCAGCTGTAGTGCAGTCGGACGGGACATGTTCGGGTGAGGTGTGGTCAGTGTCCGCTCGCTGTCTTCCCTGCCTCTTGTCAGCTTCTTTGGAGTCGCCGCACCATTTGGTCTATCAACGTCTGGGTGTTGCCGTACTTGTTCTTCAAGTGGGCCACTATGAGCGGATATGTCCTTCGAGAGATCTCGAACTGCTTCACGGACTCTTTGGCGTCTCCCTGTAGCGCATCAAGGAGATAGTTCAACTTGTACAGATCGTCCATCTGTCTGGAGTGCACCGCATGTTCGAAGACTCCCCAGAACGTTTCCCATTCCCAAATTCGTCCGCTGAACTTCGGAATGGGGATGGGGGCCAAGTTCATCAGCGGTGCGATTGGAGTCCGTTCCCCTGCGTGTATGGGACGCTCTTCCCTGAGCTCGCGCAGTTCTTCCAGCAGCTTGAATATTGTAGTTGACGCGGAGTTGCCCTGTCGAGACGAGCTGTTGCCGCGTCTACGTTGGAGGTCACCTTTTGCAGAATCTCCTCTATGGATGGAACGTCGTCCTTCAATTCGTCCGCTGCTTTACTGTATTGCTCTAAAGATTTGTCAACTTTATCGATCTCCGCATCCAGCATAACCTTTGCCTGGCGTAGCCTCTGCCAATGCGTACTGATGTACGCATGTTGCTCTTGCTCATCCCCAGGAGGTTCAATCACCAGTGTGAGAAGATCACTATGCTGCTCTAGGGTTCTTTCTAGTCTATTCAGCGCGCGTGTCAATAGTCCTTGGCGGATAGAGAGTGTGGTGGTCATGCTGTTAGTGAAATGACGACGGGTTATGAAGACGTAGGACAAGTGCAATGGACGATGACTCGTGCAAGTGACAGACGTTCACGGAATATCGCCCTACCTCCTTGTCCTCCTTGAGTCCTCCTCCTTCTCGTCGTTGCTTCGTCCACTTTCTTCGCCCGGAGCAATGATTCCAGGCGGGTCTCGGTCTCTGCAGTGAATCGATTTTCGCTACTCGATCTCTGCTCCTGTCCTCCTTGTCAGTCCTAGAGAAGGAAATCGTTCACGTATCGGTTCTGGACGAGTATCGTGAAGGTTGCCTTTACTTACTGGTCCGTGCGAACGGCTTGATTTGAGACGATGTCCTTCTTCAGCTGGAACTCGATCGGCTCGTCCTCGTCAGTCTGGTCCGTGTCCGCGAACGGCTTGATTTGAAACGATGTCCTTCTTCAGCTGGAACTCGATCGGCTCGTCCTCGTCAGTCCTCCGGCCGATGCACCATATGCCACGCGGGACTGTTTGTACCTCAAACTTGGGTAATTAAACTTTATCATAAATTATAAAAAGGATAAAATAAGAAATAAATCAACTGCTCTCTACTGCGAGCTGGCCTCCTTATATATGCTTAGCCTAGGCGGAGCCAGCTCT